TAAATATTTGTTCGCAACTCTACGAGCAAACGCGAACATTGTATATTATTCGCAACTCTAACTTTAATCAGGGGCTATTGGTACATGTGCATACACATGTACTGGCCACAAAATAAACTAACTACTACTAGTACTACAATTGGGGTAGAATTTGGGCATTGAAAATATCGCAACGCTAAATAAAAAATCGCACGATTAATCGAGATCGCAACGCTAATTTATAACATGAAAATTGCAAACGCGGTTGACATCCATTATATATATAAAAGAGTAAAAAAGCAACGCGAATCGTGATTGTTCGCGACACTACCCTGAAAAGCAAACGCGAAAAATAGTATTGCGCAACTCTACGAGCAATCGCGTTTATCAATAATTCGCAACGCTATTTTTAAGCAAACATTCGGTACCTAAGTTTGCAAAAAACCAATCGCGTATCGTGTCTAGTCGCAACGCTACCCTGAAAAGGCAACGCGAAAAATAAGAGTTCGCAACTCTACAAGCAAACGCGATTATTGCATATTCGCAACTCTATGTATATCATAACCGCGAGTTATGGGGACGGATGGCTGGCATGTACGGTGCAATCATGTACGAAGTACATGCATACGTGAGCCAGCCAGAAAAACAAACTAACTACAACTACAGACGAGTTAAGTGACAAAGTAGTAACAGGAATGACTTTCCATCCTCATCCAAAGATGAAGATGAAAAGCCATTTGTTGTAGCCCACTCTTGAGACAGTTTGTCAGGGCCTCTTCAGCTCATATAGAGCCTTTTCTTTCTTCGGCGGTCCTGCCGATGCCTGAAACTTACTTAAGACCGGGCTCGAGATTTTGTGCAATACGTAGTCTTCCAACAATATACGAATTGTTGGTCGAGCGTACGTGGTGAATCTCGAGGGGAACGAGCGTTTCGAAAGGGACCTGATCACGACCGCGAACGCGAGAGAGCGACTTTAAGAGTCGCGCGATTCGAGGAGTAGAAAATAAAGCTAAAACAAACAGCATACACCGTTTGAATCAGCAAGATTTCTACCCTCGAAATCGTAACTACAGGAACAGGACTGCCACGCGAAAACGCGCCTACCCGAATTACTAATGTGGACAGTCCTGCCCTGACCCTACCTACTTAGATTAAGCACACACACACACCAGAGAGAAAGTTACCTACCTACCTAACCCTATATTTAAAAAATTGCAAAACTCAATCTCGCAAACAAACACTCCACGGTTCTCATTCTCTATGTCCGGGCGCGACCTAAACTAGAGAGGACTCCCCGGGGTTCCTCCGACACCCGGACATAACTAACATTCACACTCTAATTGTGGACTTACTAGTTTCTGGGACTGACAAAGGCTAGTGATCTTTGCGTTCTTATATTATATAGATAAACGTTTGTATAGATCGTTTCAATATATGGAATATAGTCTTTAATAAAATCTATTGTATGGATGTATCATTCAAGATTGAAAAATATTAAGATTCAAATCCATTAAGATCAACAGTATTCAAATAAATGATAAATTGAAATTTGATATTATTATTGATAAAAATCTAATGTTATAAAATTCTGTATGTAAATTGCAATCATAAAACATCTGAAACGACGCACTTCCACAACCTAACCACACACACACATATGTGGACAGTACGTCGCGCACGATTCACTAGCCAATGTCAGTCCTCAATATGTCGTTGAATTGTTATAAATAAATTCATCGTGCCCCGTTGCCTTCGCTCATGCAAATAGCACCTGGGCATGTGCATGAACTTAGGCAACGAACACGGAAAAATTACTCTGAAAATCCTGACTAGAAAAACTGGTTAATAGCTAAACGGTATTTCGTATCTAATTTTTAGGTAAAATGACTCGACTTGTTATATGCAATATATCAATAACAAAATACGTTAACATTGAAAAATACTACTGTTCGATAAAACTATTATAATTGAAATTGAATTATTTAAAATGAAAGACTCTACTTGAGATTTCATGATAAAAGAATTTACTTTAAAAATTGAAATGAATTCATTAAATTGTCAATCAAAATATTCAATTATCCTTGATCGATTCTGTCGTCAAAGTAAACTTTTTAAAAGATGAAGCTATTATAAAATGCATGTTACTTTGACTCAAAAATCGACCTCTCGCGAAATGCCTTCTTGCACGTTAAATCGCATGATAAATATAATGTTTTTCACATTATATTAATTCATTTTCTATTCGATCATACAACTCGTATAAAGTTAAGAAAAATATTTCATATATTCTATAAAGATTGTATATTTGTAAAAATTTTATAATAATCATAATGTGTACTATTCATTTGTAACATTAAGAAACGCGAGTGCAAGAAGACCCTAAAACCTGCTCTAAAATATATAACAGCTGATGTTACTATTCACTTAACTCGTCAAAAATAGCAAGTATACAACTGGTCACCCGTGTTGATTCGGATCTTTCATCCTACAACATGGTTGGGGACCAGAGGAAACAAAATAGCATGCGACTTACCAATGATGGCTTGAAGTCCTCAAAGTCATCCATCAGTCAGCATGGTCCTGCTGGTTAGATTCAGGTCCAGAGACTGTAACAAAAATGCAAGAAAACAATTAGAATCTATTGTTAAAATTATAGAGATTTTTAATTAACAAATTTCAAAGTATAAATTTATACTTACGTTGTTCGCTCGTGGTCCACCGCCCGATACTCCCCGAGTACTGCTACTGGTTCCCAGGATCATGCTCAGAAACTGTAAGAAAACTGTAAGAAAACAATTAGAATCTGTTGTTAAAACTGTAAAGATTTTTAATTAAAAATTCCAAAGTATAAATTTATACTTACATTGTTTGCTCGTGGAGCACCGCCAAATAATCCTCTTCGGTGATGCACTGACTCTAATTCCGGTAACGAGGAGTTTAAATTTCAAATTGAAAAAATAATTAATTTAATTAGAAAGTAATAAATTAGATTACCGCGACCGAAGATTGAAATCGGCGAACAAATGATTCTATTATCGCGATTCAGAAAACAAGGAGAGCCACGATGCTCTGGAAGTAATTTAATACTGCGTAGAAAACACTGCTTCTATTCTCGCGAGTGCCTAACATCGCGAACGATAACGTGCTCGGGGTCACTTTGCCCCGAGAAACAAACTTGTTGCTACGCTCAATCACTGAATCTACCGGCCGCATTGCACGCGGCCAACAAATTTCCTGGAAAGAAAAGACCTGAGAAGAAAGGGACAGGAGACAAGAAACACAACAAGCACATCTGTGCTTAGCCTATTCATTTTCTTTTTCCTTCTTACTACAGTTTAACAAAGGAAACACTGCTTTACTTAGCACTGCTGTATACATAGTTTATCATGTAAAAGATCAATGCCACGAAGGCGAAATATTCTCAATCAATGAGAATTTCAACTTATAAATACTATATCACCAAGTTTCATAGTTAGAGTTGTGAGCATGATTGTATTTACTTTATCGAACGTTAGAATATCCCGTAAATTTTATAAATATTCCGAAATTTGCAAGAATTAAAGTTCGCTAGTTATTTATGCTTGAATAGCATATTCCAACTCCGCAGTTACTACGTTTTCCCAAACTTGCATCGAAATATGTATGCAAATTGCAATTACAACGATTCATAAAGAGATATAAACAATCAATTGAATAAATAATAGTCGGAAATATTTAATCGCGATCAGAATACAGTCTAATATAAACTATTGCAATTTATCGTTGATATCTACCGACGCCATTTTTGTATACTTCGATATATGTATATCGAAGTAGATAGAAAGTTTGTTAACTATTTTAATATCTTATCTTAACAATGACCGATTACAAAATTAAAATCATGCTTGCAACGGATAACTTAATAAAGCGATAAATATTAATATGGATGTCAATTTTTATTGTAATTATTTAAACGTTACCGATATACCCTTCAAAATTTGCCGACTCGACTGCCATCTGTTATGGTGTACTTTACGCGCCAATAAAACTTCCCATGGCGTCGAATTTCAATCAGAGACTGCAACAGAAATAAAATACAAATTAAATCATAATTAAACAATGATTGATTATGAGGAAATAGCAAAGGGTTAGGAATGCATACTTCGTTGGTCGTGAAACGCCGACATGTCTTGACAGGTTTCAAGAAGTCTTCTTATTCCTTGATTTCGACTTCCAATAAGAGACTGTAACAGAAACGAAATAACGATACATTAAAGTACACGAACCATTATTATAATTAGGTAATGATTGAATCGAAACCGTATTGCAAGAGATCGTAATTAAAACGCGAGTAGTAATGATGGAAAGATCAACAGGTTGGAGATACGCACCTCGGTCGCGAAACACCGATACGTCTTGACGTCGAAGTAGGAATGATGGCCGCTCGCTGTGCTCGGTAATGCTCGCGCATTAGGCGGCGGGGTGGGGGAGCTCCGATGTCTCCCGAAGCTTGCATTACGAACCCGACTCCCGAGGTATGCCTTAGATAAGAACCGTCCCCAGCGTTCGTCTCCTATTACCGAAAGTACAATATCAGTAACATAAAACAGATATAATAACTCTTTTAACAAAAAATGCATATCAAAGATTTTCATCGATGCAAGCGTATGTTTATGTTTCTCGAAATGTTTTAAAAATAATCCTTAAACGCAGAGTGCGTTATGAAACTATACTTACAATTTTAATTCGTCAAAGACAAACTTGCATTGAATTGACCAGTACATGTACATCGTCAACGTTATGGCGTTTATTATATTAGACACGCATCACAGACGAGGTATTGAAAACTAGCCGTAGTAAAAGGTTGTCTCTATCGAATCTCAATCGAAATAATTCACAAATATTCGTCCAGCGTTTCGACACATTTTGGATCAGTTTTTAAATCGGACGCTGTTCGTATACAGAGGACTCTGAGATTGGGAGTCGGTAACACAGTTGTGCTACGGACACGAAACCCCGTAAGATATCAAGTCTATCCTATACCTCGTCTGTGGTGATATTATCATAACTATACATTAAAGATCGTGCTTCTTGATAATTTGTCGATAGCTTGTAAGCGGATAAGATTTTGTAAGCGTCAAAGTGTGGTAAATCATAGTATTGTAACGGTAGAAAAGTTATTACGATGTCTCGATCCAAAGGTAGATTGTGTTGAGTGTAACAACGATAATAAATAATCATATCAACCATCGTCGGTTAAAAAAACATTAAAAAGTTTCACTTTCTTATTTTCTGGTTGGATGAAGGAGGCAAAAAAGATCGTCGATACCACTGCAATAAGATCAACATCGGTGACAAGGGAAAAGAAGTCGTGGAAAGTATAAACGACAGTAGTTTGGTCGTGAAACAATTTCGAACTTACGCAGCTGAATTGGATGATAAACACGATCGTTATGAAAGGATTGTCAAAATCAGTAGAGACATCACGATAGAAAGCAAAAGAATTATTTTTCTTTTGCACACGATAGATAGAGAAAGCAAACAAGAAAGTATATTACATGAAAGCAAAGTGAGGCTGCAAACTGTGGCTCAAAATCTTTTTAAATGTATTGCTTTGGAACTAGAAAATCAGCATGCATATCAGTATCTTAACGCATATCGTGCTGGTCTGGAAGAATACATAGAAGCAATTACATTTTATCAATACTTGCATGAAGGTGATGTGGAACATTGGACAGAACTTGAAAAGAAATTTATTTACACAATTTCTGAAAAATCTGAAAATAAAACGTTATCTACTTTAATTACACCATACGAATTCATCTTGGGAATTGCAGACCTAACTGGAGAACTTATGCGTAACTGTATCAATAATTTAGCAACGGGAGATATAAGTAGCTGTTACCAAACGTGCAACTTTGTTAGAAATATGTATAAAGGTTTCCTTGGCTTTACAAGCGTTTCAAACAAAGAAATGAACAGAAAACTTTATACGCTCAAGCAAAGTGTTCAAAAAATGGAAAATGTTTGTTATACCATTAAAGTAAGGGGTTCTGAAATACCAAAGCATATACTTGTAGACGTAGCTACCAAAGACTATACAGAAAACAACGAAGAATATCTAAGCTAATTTAAGCTAATTTCGAACATCTGATAATTATTTTTCAATACTTGCATTTTTTTTTTATAAATATCATACAATAAAATAAATTGTACCTTTGTACTTCTTTCCTTCTGTAACTAGACATAAATATTATTTATACTTCCTAACATATACTAGTGTATTTATAGTAGTCTTATTAAATATGTAACTTCAATATCAGAAAAAAACTTCATAAAATATATATTTTTATATTTTAATATTTATTTCAATGATATATAGAATATTAATTTGAATATAAAATAAACTATTACACATTGATACAAACTTCTGAATGCATGATAAAATCTAGACGAATAATTTTTAAATGTTGCAAAATTGTAATACGACAAAATATTTATTTTGTTAATTCTAACTTTCCCATTCACTTTCAATAAGATCAAAGTATTTGTCATCATCATCCGAATTTTCTGCATTGCTAGGATTATATTCAGATTCATCTACAGAATCATCCGAATATTCTGCAGTGCTAGAAGGATTATATTCAGATTCGTCTACAGATTCGTCCGCAGACAAGTCCTCTATATCGGATAAGGTTTCTGAAGGTATTTGTCTAGGAACTTGTTTACGACGTTTAGAATGTTCATTTGACACGGTATGTTTATATTGCATTCTGTGTTCAGGATTCTTACGGTAGCACTGCATACCATAACTGCATTCTTTTCTGTCATCTACAATGTCATAGTCGGAATCTTCGGGATGACTAAATTCTGCTTTATGCTGTGCATTTCTCCTATAATGAAAAAATTACTTTGCAAAGGATCTTAAAACAAATGAACAAATCTAAATTACCTGTAACATTTCTTTCCATATTTGCATTTTTCCCTTCTAATGGCATTTGTTGCTACATTAGTAGATGTGTTTGAATTATCTGCTTGCATTGAAATAGATGATTGAGGACCTGTAATAGTAGGTTTTTTATTTTAGTTTATAGAATACAAGTTCAAATTCTGTTTAGAAATGGTTAGTTGTCTCACCTGTAACAATGTTTGTAGTTGTTTCATTTGTACCTTGAAGATCAACATTTTCTTCCAATGAAGATGATTGATCTGTATCTTGAGATTTGCATATTAATTTGCAATTTGATGTATCCTCATTTATGAAACTGCTGCATTAGAATACAAAAGAATTAATCGAATTGAACACAATGCTTTTATCAATATATATGAAATTGAAAGTAAAATAAAACCTTGCACTATGAATTTCTTTAAAATTTTGATCTGCTATATCAGTAGCAGTTTTATCATCTAACAAATTCTCTTTGCTGATATTAATACACTCATCTTTCATTTCATTCAAAACATTACTAGGAGATCGTAAATTATCTCCTTCTCCAAATTCTGGACAAGGCTTTTTATTAGGTATATCACACTCAACATCTGCTTTAGCCTATAATGTAATTAATATAGTACACTGAAAAGTTAAATAACAATATCACGAAACATGAGCATTATACTTGTCGTTTTAAGACGTTTTCTTGATTGTCTTCCATGATCTCGGGTACTAATACAATTTTAAACCAACATTTATTTGATACCAGAGAACAAATGTCTCCCGCCTTTATTGGAACAGTAGCACCGATCTTAAGAAGTTGCCATCGCGAGGATTCAGCAGATTTCATATAACACGGTGAAACCTGATTCTAATAAAATAATTCCTATAAAAAAACTAACGTGCGTTGTATTGAATTTACAGTAGAATTTGACTACTTTTGTCACTGCGTAATTAGTACAAAACCTACAAAGTTTATCTTACCGGTGTTATGGTCATTTCATTGTTGGGTGATAAATTTATCGTTACAGCATTCTTAATATCATCGTTCTGAAATTAACGTACGAAGAATAAGTTTGCAATTTAGAATATATGTTCCTGGATTCTGACTGCGAGAAAGTTCTGCAATTAAACTACAAACGCAATACTCAAAAGGTAACAAAATATCACATCACAGTAAGCGTTCGTAAACGCATGCTCGAAGAAAGTTTAACAGTAATTTCAAATTAGTTTCTAACCAATAGCAATTTCAAAGTAATTACTTACCGTGATCATTTAAGTTATATTTGTGCATTACTTTTTTTTTATTTAATTAGCAGTAATAATAATTGTGTACTTACACCAATTACGACACTTCGACCGATGAAATTATTACCTATTTGTAGGTCTGCTTTTTCTACCGTATCATTATCTACACGAAGTATTTGTAACTTTTTCATTCTGATCATTTATAAAATTTTCTTTTAAACGTTTCGGTCATATAATATAAAAAATTTCTCATGTTGTAAATTTATCATTGAACGCAATTTTTTTCTAGCAATAAAAAAAATGTTATACACACGTAGAAAAAAAAAAAGAAACACGAGCCGAATTTAATCATAGTCGGCTAATTATACAATACGATTAAAAATTTGCACGATAACATATCCCGTGCAAGAAATACATATCAAATTTTTGTTTCATTCGTGTAAAATTTTTCCAAAAATAGTTTTACAATTTTGGGTAATTATGTGATGAAGAAAAATACACGGGGGCACTAACAATGAAAATTTTTTCATTTACAATTACAAAGAATGTACACCTTTATAAACAAATGAAGTGAAATGCAAAGAGAAATAGAAATTTGATGCGATGTCGTAAAGCTCTGTGTGAAAATGTCTCATAAAAAAGTCGCCAAGTAGGAAATGATTGATTAGTTTTATGCTTATTTGCATAGGTGTAATCAGCCAGACTAGTCTGCCAATTCACAACTTAATTATCAAAATATCTTCTTGAATCGTTGTATTTATCCTTAGTATTAGACGGAACGTGACTGTAAACAATCGTCAAGCGAATAATTCTAGGTTACGATTGAAATCATCATTCCAATTTTAAACATATTCACATTTCGTTACAAAGAAATCTTGTTCGCTTTACAGAACAGAAAATACATTCACGCAATGATGAATGTTTATAAAAATTGGAAGCTGTATATCACAAACTGGAATAATAAAATAATAATTTTGTCGTTCAATACTGTATACTTCCATCAGTGCTGATCATGAAATAACTTATAACATTTATTAGTGATCCGTTATTTAGCTTACAATGTAGGAACATTATAAATCTCGGATTCAATAAATGAAATATAGTTTGATATTTACCAGGCCAACTTCAGGTTACCGATGGTTTAATAGCACGTACCGATCTATTTAATTTAATCAACAAATACAGCTTGAAGATTAACCATTCATCTTAGCATACAAGAATTCACTTTATGACATAGTGTAATTCTCACTTTCGTCGCTTATAATTAGGTAATTAGTCAATGTCAGCGTACACACGTATCACAGCATACATCAGAGAGCTTGCCAAGGAAAAGAGCAATATTATGCATCTACCTTTTGTCAAAATCTAGAATGTATTGTATGTAAAATAACTTCTTCAATAAAAACTACACAACTAAAAGTTGTAGTAAATCCTTACTTCATATGTTCTTGGACAGTCAGATCATTGTTTATCACACATGTGATAGTGTTGGTATCGTTCTAAGTTCTAAATTTTATTTTTTTTAATATAAAAACGAAGCTCCTATTATTCCTTGCATGTACCATATTTAAACCGAATTTCTTTTATTTTTCGTTTCTCTAATATGAAACAATAGAATCTTTAACACGTGTACAGTATTGAAGAGTACATCCTATAATTTATATAATTGCAACATAAAGTATGATCATATGCGAAAATAACTAGATATGTATGTACTTTTGAATTTACCTGAAAAAAAAAAACATTAAAAAATGGTATATTCTTGATGTGATCAGTGGTTCCCAATGATGAGAATATAAATTAAATCAACGCCATTAAAATATTGTTGAATATTGTTGGTAATTAAAGTCATGAGAGATATTATTGTCCAGGAAACACTGATTTACAATTATATAAATCATATAGTTAATTAATTACTGATGTACATTAACAACAAATAAACTCACTTCATTAGGTTTCCACGCTTTGTTTGCATTTTGTTATAAAAGCACTAATATTTTCTAAGAAATGCCCATGACAAAGAGTGGAAAAGTGTCATTATTTTCAAACTTTTCAAAAATTACAACAATGCAAATTGTTTTTACATTTTGACACTGTTGTTTTAACATATGTATACATATATATTTTTATTTATTTGTATAAATTAATAAATAGTATTGTGTAGAATATTCCATTTTAAACACTGCCTATTATTAGAATATTCAATAACTATTTATTTATAGATTTATAGTTATTTATTTCATTGTAGTAGACATTTGTATCTGAGAACCATGTAAAAATTTGAAAATCACAATATAAATATGTTTTCGCTTTTAAATATTTATGTTTAAATAAAGTAAAGCAGGCTATACACGATGATTTCCTTTTTATACGTGGAATCTTTTCTTTCTTTTTAAAATATCAAGTATTTGTAAGCAACATAATACCACAGACTGCTCACATAAAACCTGTTATATCGAGTCATGCGACGAAATGTGTATATCGTATAGAGCCCGCTAAAAGTTCAATCCATTTCAATCAAGAGAAATTACAAATTAATGACTGTATTATACTACAACTTATATCTTTCCCATAAAATTTAATGTAATCGTTCACAACTAAAATATGCAACATTTGTTAACTCTCAGATATAAAGTCACTTTCGTATGTAGTCCTCAATTGATCATACATCGACGATGCACTATAGATTACATCCACATTATAGATTTTCAATAAAGCGAACAAGTTTCTTAGAAAAACATTCATGTAACTATATTATAGAACAAATAAAAATTTCCTTCGTTATGTTTAACTTACAATCTTATTAAGGCAATTTAGTTAGCGATGATCGGACTATGTTCTTGAATTATATTAATAGGAAATGAAGCATACAGAAGGAACATTGTAACATATGCTCTCACTAAAAATCTCAAATATTACTTAGAATTAACAACGTAGAAAAATAATACTTGCTATAATTAAACTTTAAAAACGAAATAATTAACGTGGATTCTGATTTACAAATCATTTACTCCGCTTTCTTCGTGCATACTATTACTGAAGATGAAGCAAAATAGTCAGTGGTAACGAGTATGCAAATTAAAATATTGCTTAAAATATTTTATATTTACATATAACTCTGACTGATTACAATAGTCACATTCCTCGTTAATCTATATTGCTAAAACCAAATTATTTTAAACCATATCTTTAAACAATCGTAAATATTAAATAATAATACAAAAGTTCTTGATATATACATATACATATATATGATATATACAGGGTGTTCAGTCACCCCTGGGAAAAATTTTAATGGGAGGTTCTAGAGGCCAAAATAATTATTCTCAAGAGTGGCAGAACACCTTGTATATACTATATTATATATATGCATTTAGCATTGACACCATTCGATTCAATTTTTTACTTAACAGGACCTTATTGGAATGATATAGTATACAGTATATACGATAAAACATACATATGTATACATATATACATGTATACACAATTTACTCATTACTTCTGTTGGATTTTCTTATGAAATCCAATAGTCTTATGCTTAAGACTATGAAATTTAAATGCTTCCCATGCGGTAAATGAAAAGAGGATGGAAAGCAAGAACAAATGTATGCACCGGAATTAACTTACCAAATAAAAATGAGTCTTTAAGCATTAAGCTGTTAGATGCCTTTCTGATCATTCTTTGATTATCCATCTTTAAACAGTACTGGAATAACTTTCACTTGGCCATACATAATACAAGTGACGATAATGCGTATATGGAAACTGCATTTCCGAGGATTGCAGTACACGCAACGACGGGACGTATTCTTCTTCGTGCTTTGAAGGTGTGCCGATATCCGGTTCTGGCTATACTATGGTACCTCCGCCTTCCGCGGGACTAACAACATGTAGAGCATTTCCAACCTGTCCTACTCCTGGCTGCAATTAAAAGATGCACGACAATTCACTACCATGAGTAGTTTAATTCGTCTGTACAAAAATTCTGCAAATAGTTGAAAGCACTTTAAAAATAAGTTCATTCTAAAAGTGCATTGAAAAAAAAAAAACAGTGCAATGATAGCATAGAAGTATCATTGGTAAATAATTTAAAAATGCCTTAGCACGGCACATACTACCAGATCGAGCACATGAAAACATACTGTACTATTCAATCCAATGAAGCAGTAAACAAGTCAAAAAAACATTATATTGTACGTACCATGCGATAACTCTGGGAAGTCTCATCCATGATACTCTTGCATCAGCCAAAGCATGGTACAGAACATTAATCTTTCCAATGAAAGTAAAAAATTAATGCCCCATTGGCATAAGAAACAAGCACAAGCATCTTCCGATAAAATTATAAGACTGTCACTATAAAAGAAGCAATGCACACTATATGAAAATTATCACAAAAATTTTAATTTGTTAAATCGCTATGACAGATAAGGGAGCATAGGGTATTTTGATAATAGAAGTGCTTTATGCAATACACCAGGAAACTGAATCTGGTATCTTAAATTCATAAAAAATAATTGTAACAAATCGCAACAATGTTATATATACATGTATGTATGTTTCATCTGGTGTTTCTGCATTGCATTCTGTATAAAACTCAAGCAGGAAGCAAGCAGCAATGTTTCATTCAAATTTTTGCTTTATTGTACAACAAGGCAATTCATTGTTTTCAACAAAGGATTAAATGTCACATTATTATAGTCTGGGACAATAGTTTGACGAAATAATTCATTGACTTTCTATCATTCGCTAAGCTAAGCTAGTAACACTTTACAGGAAAGAAAGAAGGGTTTAAGGGGCCTGCCCTGTTACAAAATCTTATGGGGCGCAAACAATGTTACTTTCAATGATGCAAACCAAACATAAATATATTCTATTTATAATTATACTAATGTACTTCTTCAATATTCATATTGAATATATTTTGACCAGATGATCATTAGGCACAGATATAAATGGAGGCTCATACTATGAATGAATGTGTTGTCTCGTTTGTAACTATTTATTATTTTTTTTAATTTATTCATATATGTTTGTATTATTTCGTTGAAATTGAAATTTTGCTCAATTTAACTAAAAAAAATTTGTTCGTTTATATAATTAATAGTAAATGCAAGCATGCAACAGAAAAATTAAAAATTTTATAAACAGAACATAAATTAATTAAAAAAATTTGTCCATTCATAGTATCATCCATCCGTACATTTCTGTAATTGATATACAATACAGACTAAAGAATAATGCCAGAAGATCTTTAATGCTTTCCAATGGCACCATTCATATATATACTGCTTTGGATAAAATGTAAACTAGGATTTAATTTGTAAATATGAGAAAAATACATTTATTCTCAAATAAAAATCTTTCAAAAGCAGTATGTGTATATAACACATGCGATGCCACAAGAACAGTATTTATTACAATACCAAAGTCGAAAAACAAAACTACCCCTTCGTGTCCTTCGCATTTTCATAAAGTTTTATATCTAAAAGAGCATTTGCCACCTATTACAATTCAACAATGATAATAGGATAATCGTCCAAAGCATTATCATATCGTCTATTTCTTTCATTCAATAATGATAATGATTTTAAATTCTATCTCTATTTATATACAAATTGGAATTCATCTCTAAAAAAAAACCCTACTTCATAAAATTGCAATAACAGCTGAAGATGGGTTACATCATAGATCGTTAGATCGCAAGGAATTAATATTGGTATAAGGATTGCTATGATGGTGTGGCCTGTGCAGAGTGCTGCTGATGGTGAGGGGACCTACCATATGACCAGGCCTTGCCCATGTGTAGACATATCCATCTTGACACGCTGTTACGAAGCAATCTTCCCTAAACACTAATTCAGTCAATCTCTCATGCGCCAACTTCTTGCACACCAGCGGTTCTAACACTGGGCACTCATCAAACCTAGGGCACCAGGCAGTTCCTATCAACCTCATAGGATCGTCCATTACGGAACTAGCCTTTTTATTTGCACCTACTAAACTTCCACTGACACTGTTCATATTACTACTTGTATTCGAGTTAGTGGTAGCTTTATCACCACCACTGTTCTGCATTATTGTGCTATTAGATGCACCACCACCTCTCATAGTGAGGCTAAAGTTCCTTTTATGATTATCACCTTTACGCTCACCAAAACCAAGGCCTGCTAACCTTTGAGTCAACGAATTTACAGTTGACACTGCTGTATTTGTACTCGTACTATTGTTACTACTTTCATTATTACCACTCGCGTTTCCCTTGTAATTAACATTATTCAAATTATTGTGTTTAGAATTGTTCAAGTGATGATTCGTCGTTGAGCCATTCCCACTGTTGACTGTTCCTGATGTGGAAAGAGTACCAGAACCTGCTGCGGATGGCCTCTGCTTCGCACACATTGGTTGCCTCAACACATCTTCTGTGATATCCCACAAGCACAGTTGAGTATCTTGCGACACACTACCTAGCCTGTAGCAAGTACCACCCGACACTCTTAATTCTGAACCACAAGAGTTTCTATTCGAATGAACTCCTTGCGAAGTCGTGGACAGACGATTAGACTTCTCATGAAAGTGGTTATGATTACTGTGGGGTAATGTTTCATCGTCTGAGCCACTGAAGTCAGGATCATGATCTCCATACGATGTAGTGTAGGGGTCAAAGGCTACTACGCTCACCCAACTGTGATGACCCTGACCTCGAGCTACCACTCTTTTTTCATGAAAGCTCCAAATTGTCACCAAATCATCTTCACCTCCCACAACAATGTATCTTCCATCTGGTGACCAACATACACACAAAAATCCACCAAAGTAACTTCTAGCTGAACCCACTAGCTCCATTGTGTTATATTGAAATACTCGTAGAAACCCATCTTGGGAAACTACAGCTAAATTTGAGCCACATGGGCTGAAGGCAAATTCATTTATACAACATCCTTCTGCGCCTATTACCCATCGATATAAAGGGTTTCTTGTAGATTTTGTCTTGCAAGTATATATGGCATAACCCTCTCCTGATTTAAAAGACTGGTAATGGGGAGCTGTTGTACCACACAAGAGTTCTTCATTATATAAATATAGTTGACCAGAGCTATGCGATACCAAGAAGAGGTTGTTTGACCCAGGAACCCATTTTATACATGTCACTTTGCTTTTATCTATCAATCTCTGAAACATTAAAAAACATTTTCACATTGTCATATTTTTCATAATTTGCGTATTATAAAAAATATAATTATATTAATGAAATCAAAAATTAATTTTTTTTTTAATTTTTCAACCAAAACAGAATATCACAAGTATTAGTACTAAATATTATATCATAGAAGATGCATTGGACATTATTATGAACCACTAAACTATTATTAATTTTCTCGTTTATCATGTTTCAACAAGATAACACATTCATATCAACAGAGATTGGATAAGTGCTGACAGCTTTTGTACACATTACTGGCAAATATCTCTGCATAGTGGTAATAACAATCTAGAAAGTATCATACAAACTATTTCCTTATCTTTAATAAACATATTCCCATAATTTTGGGATTGTACCAGCAGTATTTTACAATCTCCCATATAATCAAAAAGTCTAGTACATGATATGCAATGTACTTTAACTTGTGCCTTCATCAAGATATGTTACTTACATCTTCATTATATAATTTGCTGAGTTCTTTTTTAATTGGATCTATCAACTGAATTTGTCCTGTTGAGAAACCCACTAATAATGGTGCACTGTCTGCAGTGGCTGTTGTTTGATTAAAATTGTGGCAAGTTGGATTAGTTCCTTTATATAATTTTTTATCCAATGGTTTATTTAAATCCACAGCCTGAAACAGTTTAATGTAATATACATTTAATATAAACATTGGTAGAAAATTTAAAAACTAATATATTTAAGAAATAATTACAAAAATAATATTTTTTCATTATTGCCCTTCCAAAATAATTAATTCTCAATATTTATTCAATTATCTTCATTGAAAGTAAAACTTTAATAAAAATAATGGTTAAAAAGTGACTACAGAACCACACTAAGTATTTGCATAAGATTTGTATGTAGAATTACATTAAAATTTCTTAAGTATAATAATATTATATTCATTATTAGTTGAAGTATGGGAAGTAAACTAATTTCAATGAATTAAGTAATCAAAGTTCTAACCACTGATGAGACAATATATATTATATATTTTAAACGAAGTGAAAGAAACCATCAATGCATTGTGTAATAGGAATAAACGAGGTATTTAGTATTGAAGGAAACACATGACTACAAATAAGTTTAGGAAATGAAATTTTACGTGTATTAATGTACAAAGTAAGAGGATTCTATTAGGTGTGGTGATGGTCTGCAAAGATGGAGTCTCGGTATGCGTTTTCGAGGTTAGGTCTAAATGAATCCACGCTTGATTAAACACAGATACATTAGACGAATATGTTAAATACAGGTAAACTTCGCCTTACCTTTTTAACACCTCGATACACATAAACATAGAGCTCCTTTCCAAAATTGAAACACATTCGGTCGCCGAGACCTTGCGTACCCGTAGGATCTGCTGGGTCCGGTAATGTTACGAAAGACACCCTAACGGATGCACTTCCTTGACTGTTCGTATAGCCAACCCTGTTTGGCCTCGAATACTCCGACAAAGTCATTAGCTTGTATGTCCCTTCCCGCGTGACAAACTGTGTTTTCAAGTCCTCCTTCCCTCCTCCATCCAGCTGCACAGCCATCTTACCACCAGCGGTGCGACGGAGGAGCTCATCAGACACGAAAAAAACCTTCGTTGACTTCTGTCCTCCTATACGTCCGTTGACAACCGTTTGCCCGAGAGCTTTAAGAAGCTGTCAAACACTAACTTGGCACTTTCTCGTTTTTGAAAAACTACCAAATAATCACAGCTTACCGGTTCTATACACGACCACTGCTAAGGGCGCTTCAACTTCTATATCGAAACTGCCCGTGCATTTACGATCCGCAGCTCATACTCTCAACCTCGTATAGAATAACTTCGTCCCCACCGTGCTCGTGACATTTCTCTCTATTTCTACATGACTCGCACAATAACGTAAAAATAAAGTATTATATTTCGAGAAGAAATCATTTAATAAAAATAGTTAACGTATACACTAGCAAGTATATTGTACTTCTCGATACGAATACTTGATACAAGAATTATGCAGGTATTCTTGGTATATTGTACTAAAGGTATATGGACAATGCATTTATATAAATCATTCTATATTTGCTAGAATTCATTTTATTAATAGTAACGCTTTAGAAGCGCGTAAAACAATTTACAAGTTAGTAATGTTATTTAATATGTAACATGATTATTTAAATGTCTTCTAACCTTGATTTATTCAAATATAAACAATTAATGTATGTATTTATTATAGTGTTAATCGTTTGTAATTTATTTTATAGGTATTATGGCAAAGTGACATAAGATTAGAAAATATACGGCACTGTCGGCGGCGTGTTATTACTGCGCGCGCAGTATCGCCTGTTCGCCTGAACTCGTTGACTCGGAAGGCCTGTCAGGAACCGGATATTTTGTAAACAACCGAGCAAAGGGTTAATTAATTTTGCCCACTTTTTTTACTTCCTGCCTTTCCCTTCCGTTCACGTTATCAAGAACACTCGTTAATGTAGTTGTCACTAACTACTTTAAGCTGCAGACGAATCACGTCATAACTAGCCGGTAATAAAAAAATTATTTATTGTTACGGCATGATGAGCACATGTCCCTCCATTAATATACGTTAAAAATAATTTTTTAAATTCTTTGTAGTTCCTTACTGCACTGTCACGTGATATGCAGCTTCCTTGAAATTCTGATCCGTTAAATTGAAGATAAAAAGACCGGTAATTAAAAAGTTTTATTCACTGCGATAATTTATCCATTGAAATCATCGGTCACGTGATCTTCATGATATGGGCACCTCGTACAGATTTCTTCCGGTTTTCTTACAGATGTTTAACTTCCCGTGACGCAACCGTAAATGGAGATTCAAATGTTCGTGTTATTCGATGTATTTCTAAATATTTGATAATATCATGCCGATCGATGAGGCTTTGTTTTACAAGAGTGAGAGGAACTATGTACAGGACATTATTATTACATACTAAATTGCATCTTAACAGGTATGCATTAATTAATAGTACGCATCTAAAAACGGCAATTATTTGATCGAATCAAAGCTATTACACTTTAATGATAATATTGCTTTAATTACCAAATACTTTATACTGTTTAAAATTTTTCTTTTTATTTCACACATTCAATTATCGAACATTTTAAGCTATTTAACTTGTTTTTATTCTAAGTTGAATATTTATATATGGTTTGTATATATATATGTTATGTTTGATATAAGAAGAAATATATTTTTATTTAAAAGATTTATAAAACCGTAGTAATGAGGTATATATTTTAAATTTAGCGCTCATAACCTGTACAGCGTGAATATAGTGAATTTTACATATACTGTATGTACAGTATGCATTGCATTGCACAAAGTTTTTGTAGGGAAGCTAACCTAATTTACAGTTATCTAACGTTATTCGAATACTTTTTAAAAATATTTATTGTATATATGTATAACTTGGTTAATTATTAATGATACGTTCATAAGATGTGTGTGTTCTTAATGACTGTATCTTTTAAATTGTTTTTTGTGTAACTGAGTCGTGTTGAACGCAGTGATAATATATATGTACATACACGTGAGTTAGTTTTATTTCATAATTCGATGGAAATTTGTATAAATATTCGTTGTTAATTAATACCATCATAATGGCACGTGGTAGAAGACCGGTTCGTGGTGGAAAAAGAAAATTTGACCGTCGTGATAGTCGACCGAAACCAAAGAAAGGTAAATTTAACCTAAAAGAGGCTTCGTATGTTAAAGAACGCGATGTTAAAAATAGAGAAATTGAAACACGCAGGCAGATGCTCGAGAAAGAGAAATTACAACAGCAAGAAATAGAAACAGATAGTTCAGACGACGAACAGGCAAATCCTATACGTGATTTATTATCCACATTTTCGAATATTAATAATCCTCGAGTAACTGCTGTTGAATCTAGTTCGGATGACGATACTTCTGACAACAAAGACGATATTATAAGTAATAATGACATTGATGAACAATTGTCGAGTCATAGCGATAACGAAGAGATTAAAGTGAGAGAAGTGGACGAAGAAGATCCTGAAACAGCTAAGGAAGATGCTGGTTATTTAAAAGATCCATTTTCAATTCATCTTCGAGATGATTTAAGCGATAAACTTTATGAAGCAGTTTCTAATGTTCCACAAATTATAGAAACACAGAAAATAACATGGCCTACCCTAGGAAATCTTATTTGTCAAATACCAAAGCCCCTGGAGGATGTAAATGATTCAACAAAAAAGTCAAAAGTATCTGTGTTAGAAGATAAACAATTTGCAAAACATGGCAATATTCCTAGCTTGATCGAAACTATAGATTGGAATAGATTATACGTAAAACCTCAAATTCAAGACAATGTTACAAGTGCTAATTGCTCAAACATAAAGGATGATGTTAGCAGAAATTCACCACCTTTGACTTCCTTGCAAAGGGAATTATTTTCAGTGATAAATAATTATCAGGATTTATATTATCCCGAAAGGAGATTCTCAAATGCTGATCAAATAAGATTTATATATTGTTTACACGCAATTAATCATGTATTGAAGACCAGAACAAAGGTATTACATCATAATGCAAAAATAACAAAATCAAAATGTTCAAATATGGCAGAAATTCCAGATGAATACAGAGATCAAGGATTAGTGAGACCAAAAATTTTGATAATAGTTCCCTTTAGACATTCGTGTTTAAAAATTGTTGAATTATTGATATCTATTTTAATCGGAGAAGATAAAGGTGGCTCTGTAATGAATAAGAAGAGATTCATGGAAGATTTTAGCGGCAATGAATTAATAATGCCAAAGAAGAACCCAAAACCAGAAGATTATGAGCTAACATTTCAGGGAAACACGGATGATACTTTCAAAATAGGAATCTCTATCACAAAAAAGACTTTAAAATTGTATTCAGAATTTTATTCCTCCGATATAATAATCACGTCACTTTTGGGTCTGAGAATATTAGTAGGTGCAGAAGGTGAGGCTGAGAGGGATTTTGATTTCTTAGCATCAGTGGAGTTGTTGATCCTAGATCAAGCAGAATTATTTTTAATGCAAAATTGGGATCACATGATACATATTTTAAATCACTTTCATTTACAACCAAAAGATTCTCATGGAACAGATTTTTCCAGAGTAAGAAGTTGGTGTGTTAATGGGTGGACAAAATACTATAGGCAGACATTAATATTCTCAAGTATTCATGTACCTGAAATTTATGGGATATTTAATAAGAGATGTTACAATTATGCAGGAAAAATTAAGGTAATAAATCCTATTTCTCCTGGATCTATTTGTCACGTGGTTGTACAAATTCCTCAAGTCTTCCATAGATTCGAAACATCGAGTCATTCCCAAGCATTGGAGCATAGAATGGACTTTTTTGTAGGAAAAATACTTCCTCAATACAAGGACAGAATCATGAATCACACGTTAATATTTGTACCATCCTATTTTGACTTTGTGAAGTTGCGTAATTATTTTAAGAAAGAAGAATATAATTATGTACAAATTTGTGAATATTCCAAGGAAGCAAAAATAGCGAGAGCGAGAGATATGTTCTTCCACAGCGATGCACATTTTCTCATATACTCGGAACGATTCCACTTCTTTCGTAGAATACGAGTGAAAGGCATAAGACACATCATATTTTATGCGCCACCCACCTTTCCCGAATTTTATAGCGAAATGTGTAATTTAATGCAGGAAGCTAATCAGAATCCACAAGCAGGCTCTGAAAGTAATATGACAGTAACTGTTCTATATTGTAAATACGACGTTATGCAACTTTCGGCAGTTGTGGGTACAGAAAGGGCAAACAAAATGCTTGGGTCGGAAAAATCAGTCCACATGCTCATGACCGGTGAATGAGAAATCCGTCAATGTATCTCGTATAAGTATGTAAATATTTAGTATGTATTTTATTTGATAAAATTGTGGATTACAGTCTACATTACGAATAACAAAAATTATCTCCACGCATATGATTCTGTTCAATTTCTTTATTATGCGATTAAAAAATTCCTTCAAACTGGTACAATCTTGATTACAATTTCCTGAAACAATTCTGTTTGCGCAAATCGTAGTATCACTTCGGCCGCATGATTACGCGTATCAAAATTAGAATCGTGTTTTAGGCGAATGATTCCTCCTTCCAAAAGGTATGCAGTCTTTGACTTACATACCGTGTTAAAGATCACACTTGGTTCCCATTCAATCTGTACAATTCCTAATTATTCACAGAATCATAGGCCTTTGATAAGAGTAGTTTGTAAAATTGAAGACTCGATTTTGCTGGCGTCGATTAAATCGACGTATTAACACTATGATAAATCTAGGAAAGTTTTAATGCTACATAGTTTGTTTCTTCTCGAATCGTTTTTGATAAATTTTTAATAATTTACGAAGTACTTTCTGAACGATTTTTAGCGAGTATCTCTCTGCTGTTCGTTGTACTAAAATTTGTCTGAGAAAGTTCCGATGTCGTTGCCGGTGAAAGACTTGAATATATCTCGGTAGATTCTGTTAAAATCGTTAACAAGTCCTTTTGTCGTTGAGTGGTTCTCGGAGTAGTTATGATTTCTGGTACTGGCGATCGTTCGTTTCCCTGGGACATCGATTTTGTCATCTTTTCTATTTGCGTTTCTGAAAAAGAGACACAAGTTTAAATCTCCATTTCGTTCGGTTTCTTTCGAGTAATTTTACAATTTCGACGTTGTCGTATCGTACAAATTGTTCGGTACACACGTTCGTACGGATGTGTTAATCTAAAATATAGACAGGAAATCGATTTGAATTTATTATGCCGACTCGACGGATCAAATCCTATTTTTACCGTTCACATTGGAGGGAATGGTGAGAGTATTCGGGATATACGTATTGGCACAATCCAACTTCGCTCTCGGCTTGACTGACACGTCTTTAGGGTCCCACAAAAAAGTATAGTACAAAGACAGCAGAATAGCTCCCATGCTAACAAATATAACGTACGCCACCACCGTCAACACGCGTACCAATTTTTGTTTATGCTTTGGCTCGTACAGCTTGTCTTTCCTTTCGTCGCCAGCGAATCGAATTTCATTGCTTGCCGCCTTATGCTCGCGATTCCCTGGCGTATTGATAACGCTTGTCAGGTCTGTGTTAGATTTCTCTGGATTCACGTTTTGAGCGCTCATTTTACGCGGCAGCTGCATCCTCGATTCACGTCTAGAAAAAATCACCTTTACTCGGTCCTCTATTCCCAGAACGCTGGATCTCGATCGGGGAAGTTTAACATTTCCGAGACATTAACGATGGAAATATTGATCGTTTCAAGAATCTCGATACAATGTATTCTGGTTAGTTCGTTAACTGATCATCGAACCCTTTGGAATTTGATTTTCAATCGAAACTTGGATCGTAATCACTAGGGCCGGTCTTACCATGGATGTAAACAATGCGTCGAAAAAGAAAATATTATTGTCATATCTGAGTTTTACTTTCCATGCAAAGATAGATGAAATTTCTAATTCAAGAGCAAAGAAAAGTCGATTTATAAAGACTACAGAAGCTTGACAAGTAATTTATGTAACAATATAGTTATATAATAATGTTATATACATCTTGTCCAACGCGTATTACTTCAAAGTTAAAAATTTTGATTCAATTTGTGTTAGAAGGAGCGCGTCTAAATTGCAAGTTGGATCTGGGTGCTAGAAATTCAGGCAACGGCCCTGGTAATCACGATGTGTCCATGTATGTAAAATTTTTTGGGAAATACCGAGAAAATCATCGTTCCCTCGTTGAAATCTTCTCCCGAATTTCTGTATCTAGTTTTTCTGGATTCTTTACATTTACAAACGACCGGTAAACACTGCAAGTTTACTATTGCAAGCAGCACATCACGACCATACCTTGTTTGTGCCACACGCCCTTACGTAGGATATTTAGCCACGAAACGGGTCACATTGTTTCGATTTGATATTTTCACCGTTGTTGCACCATCGTTCTCGTAATGCGTGCTTCTCGAATACTCGTTCCTCGTTCACCCTTACAGTGTCTCGTATATTCTGATCAGAAACTTGTTTACCGATGGGGCGTTACCGCAGGAAAGCTGCGAATACCGTAACGAGAACGCAGAAACGCTCTAGTTCCGCGAGAAGGCCACGAGCTTACGAGGACGTAATGCGCAAATGGTTTCTATCCGTTCGCGTTCCCACTATCCTACGATTATTTCTGTTCCTTGACTCGCGGATCAACATTTCCCACCAATGCAGCTGTTAAAAAATACACCCGTTCAATGATACCGACGAGCTTTCACTGCGCAAGCCCAAGAACCTTGACTCGTGCTTCGTTTCGCAAGCTTCAAGGGCTGCTTTACTTTACGGGATTCACCGTGATAAATGCCCTTGTGGCAACGACTCCCACAATGGCCAACAGAGGGACACGATCGACCTTTACCTCTCTCGCAAGTACTCGACCGATCGCCTAAGAAAAGGCTTTCTAGAGTTGTCTTTCCATTAACAGATTTTGGACGAAATTTCTTTTACCTCCTTACTTCCATCAACAAACTCGCCACACCCTTAAACCGATGCACCAATTGCCTTATTTCATTTTCAAGGCTTTACCATCCATTATCGTATCGAAATCGTACGCGCAGGTCTTTTGGAAATTTTGATTCGAAACCTAGTTCTACATTACGCTTAAAGACTACACAAGTTTACGAATAGCGTATTAATTTATTTGTAAAAGCTCGAATAAGTTTGGTAACGTCGTACGCGCCTCTTGTTCTTCGAAGTATAATTAAATCGAAATCGTCCCGACGTGCAGGTAAGGTGCTTCCTTGGAAGCGATAATGAACCGTTTAAAAATGTTGCGCAAGCATTTTACGTAAGGTCGAGCTTGCGTGTTGTTTCGAAGCTGTCGGCTGTAACGTGTCTGATGCGTCAGGACGTCCTCCTGTTTCGTAAAAGAATATCATTTACGTAAACGGTGTCATTTTCATAGAAATCGCGAGGCGTTAAAAATATCCGCTGGAACAAGAATTCGTAAACGTTCAATGAAAGCTGACCAGGTCTTTGTTTTAAGTGTAATGCGACTCTGACAACGTTTACTCGGTTCACAGAGGAGGCGCGCCTTTATTTTAATAGCATTAAGACGTCGTTCTTCGATCACTTCGCGTACAAACATAGCCTTTCTATCGGCGGACATTGTCCAATGAGAGTTTCTCATATCGAAAAATAAAAAGAACTGGAATATCTTTACTTCTTGAGAGATTCTAAACGATTTTTAAACCATCTTTCGACGTCGTGTAGTTTGGTAGAAATTTCTGTAGAAAAATCGGTTCCGAAGCCGCAGGCGATCGTTCTTAGAAATTGTAGAATATTCGTAACGGTGCAACGTTAAAGAAGCCATAACGGATCGACCCGACCCTGTTTCAGTTATTACGCGGACAATACGGATAATCATCGCACACCAATCCATCGACGATTTTATTTCTAAGGTTTTAATCACGACTTTTCATTGCGACCGTGGCCGGGCATTCCTATCCTTTTCTCTAGGTGAAACTTAACTATATACACCGATTATAGATCAAATAAATCGCGATAATCTCGTGAACATCTTACGTTTCAATTAATTCCGAAATACCCATTATGCTATCGATACCATTCACAGAATACAAAAGTTAACGACTTATGATCTTTGTATATTACTCGTTTCATGCGATACGATGTATATTCTAAACATTCTAAAATGTTTGTTTACCTCGAAAATTGATCGCAACGCTATGGAACTTTGCAGATGATAGGTTTGATTTCGGACCATCGGTAAATTCCAAGATATGAGAATTTACAGCCGGTTGTTTATTTACAAGAACCCCGACATTGTACGCGCTATCTTTGCTTCTTTGCGTTTCGGGATCTTGTTTATCCCTAGTTGTCATAATAACATCGGATTTGTTAATTATCGTGGTCGTTTCGACGGTACTTGTAAATCCTCCGTTAAATGTATTTAATTTGGAGCTTTCCGGCACTTCGACATCCGTAGTATATTTAGAAGCATTTTCAACGGTCTTCGGTTCAATTTTTACACCGCTTTCGGTAATAGCTGTTCCTACCTTTGCTCGAGGGCTCGTTGGAATGTACTTTTTCCTCTTTTCTCGGTATACGGTTAAATGTTTTGTCAAATTCCGATTCGACCGATACACATCTTGCGACCCGTACATGGTGCTGTTGATGGCATCCGTTAAACGATTCTTACTCGATTCTTCGTTTCCAGAAATAGTCCAAGAGTTCAATGTCGAAGGCGTACCGTTGCCATCAATTGTACTTTCTTCGTTCTTAATTCTCGATGAAGGTATCCCCTTGTTTATCATCTCACTTTCAACGTTGTTCTCCAAGCTTGCTACGAACCTTGCACTTCCTTCGCTCGACTTTTCCGCCAAATTCAATCCTTCTTCTTTCACGAGCGAAGCGTGCTCGGTGAAACTGGGATCTCCCGAACTTTTTCGACGAGGATCTCGATCCTTCGAATCGTTACTTTTGTTTCGCAAAAACTCTATCAGAGAATTTCTTAATACGACCATAGAATCGTTCAAGTTGCCACGATTTTTTGTTACATGACCGTGATCGTCGACGACACGACCGACGAGCGTTTGCTCGAGTTCGTTGGACTGATTCGACACGATCGATGGATCGCTCAATAAGAATTGTATTTCCGGCTCGCTGGACAAATGAACCGGCCTTCGTAAAAGTTTCGGATTGGGTGGTTCCCAGAGGAACAAGTAGTACGCGCTCAAAACTATGGCCACGAAACTTACGGAGAACATGTATGCCAGCACGGTAACCAAACGTACGAGTTTCTTGCTCCCTCGATTTTCATAGATGTCCGCGCTCGAATCTTTCTTCAGAGCCTCGCCGCCAGCACCTTTATCCTGAGGACCTTCCTCGTTCCCTTCCTTGCTCATCCTAATTCAAGTCTCTTTACACTGAATACCAATAGATTAAATTCTTGTTTGGACTACTCCGAGCCGGTCATTCACAGCTCAATCGCTCTTGTTTTTGCATCTATTTTCGTTCAGACTCTCCTCTCGCGTTGTCATCGTGCAACAACGATAGATCACATTCGAAAACATATTTGGGAACAAATTCTCACCGAATATATTCACACTCGAGCCACATAAACGTACGTCAACGAATTATTTCAGTTCCAGAAAGATAGGAGATAACTTCTTTCGTCGATGCTTTGTACTCTCCATTAATTTGTTCTTGATCTCCGAAATATCGACGCGGCCTTCGCGGTGGATTTTTATTGTCCAGTCACGGGCATCGATTTAAAAGTATCATCGCGTATTCTGTTCGATTGAAAGTGCGAATTGGAAGAGAGTTATCGAGAGGACGCGTCTCGAGGGCGAAAGCACGCACGACTGCAAGTTCTCGACAAACGTTCGTAGAAAAGCTCCGTTCCTTCGCCACGTGTTAGATTCGCGCGCAAGCGTCCTTAAGATACTGTATTGCGTGCGAATACTTTTTCCGATGTATCAATTACGCGTCCACGATGTTCAGGTATCGTTAATTTGGTTGCAACCTCGGACGTTGATGTCCAATAAACTTCTCGACAGTTCAAAACTACGTTTTTCGATCATGCGAACATTTCTTCTTCATTGTCCTCTTGATTTTCTTCTTGATTTTCTTCTTGATTGTCTTCTACCTGTTCGCACAAAGAACACTTGCTACATTGAACAGATGACAGTTTGTGACAGGTGCACGATTCTAGGGACGTATTTATTGCGATTGATATTTGTTCGTGTCGATCGCTGGTTAGATTTTCTGTGGTTGTGCCGACACGAAGCTGATTCGAGAAGTTCTGAAACCATTTCGCGAAACTTAGTTGACCGCAGCCTGTAAAAAATCACTGTACAAAGGATTATCGTACCTCGTAACGTGTTTCTGACTTCAGAGACGAGGTGTCCGGTAAATTTGTTTCCGTTCGGGATTGCGATGAATATTCATCGACTCGAGAGGTCGGCGCGTATGATAAATTCGGAATGCGTTGTTGGCTGTTCAGAATTCGAAAAACTTGCGTTAAGAGATCGTTCGAAGCTTCGTAGCAGGGCATCGGAATGGAAGTCTGGCTACTTTGTCGAGCAATCAACAAATTCAGTGCCGGCATTAATGCTGGAGCGTAAAGTAACACCGCCAGCCTAGAAAAAAGAAAACGAAATACAACATTGATCAATCGATAACCCATTTTCGTTTCATACTTTAATAGTTGAATGGTTAATCCGTTGGGATCCAAAAGAGGGTTCGAAGTAGAAGGTATCATAGGAGTGGAAGCAGTGTGAACGTTGCTTCGTGGAGTTGGGATTCTGTTCCGTGGACGGACGTTTCTCGTAAAGTTTCTCGCCTGGTCGTTCACAAAACGCGGTTTTTCGTAAGGAAGCTTCTTCGAGTGACTGCTCCAGTGACCGCGATTACTTTGGAACGTTTGATCAACCCGCGAGTTTTCTTTACGACGCGTGTCCGTGTTTTCGAAAACTTTCATTCTTTTAGACGCATATTTCTCCACCAGATCTGTGTTTGGTCCTTGACGCTTAACTTCAAACTTTCCCTCGCAAATATCCTTATTAAACTCTGGCCCCATTATTGGTTGAAACTTCGGCGTGTTTACCATGGAACTGGCCTGCGTATGATCCTTGTGTTTAGCATCGAAGTCAATAAAATACGACGTTTCCGGTTCGTGTTTCTTCTCGAACCTTTGGCATGCTTCCATCAACGTCTTTTCATCGTCGATAGCAGTAATGGTTGTGAGCGGTTTAAAAATAAAGTAATATCGTTATTTCGCGCCTCAAAATATTTCCATAACTCTTACGGTATTTTCCATCAAAATATTCAAAGAGGCAACACACTTTGTCGGTCGATGTCGTTGGCTTTTGAGTCTTGAAAGGGGTCAAGGATTTCTTGGAATTGCCAACCATTTTAATGGAATCGCACTTGTTCATGGCTTTATGGTTACCGTTGTTTGTCTGCAAGTGTATTAGATGCTTTCAATTGTAATATATCTATATATTTTTACATGTATTACTTTAAAATGATCGATGGTCGAATGTGTTGATTCCTGTGGAAGGATAACAGCAACGTTGTGCGTCGAACACACCATACTTGAATTATTGTTCAATGTTCTTGATCCACACGTGTGATCACTAGGATCCTTTATCGGATACATATCGTCTTGGAAATGCTAATAAAGAAAAACATGCTTTCCAACGTCTCTTTCGCCTCGAAGCTTGAAGGATCATAATTACCTGGGAAGGGATTTGACGCTTCGTCCAATCTACATTGTCCAAGATCCTGTTGGTCGAATCTTTATTCTTTCTTGCATTATAATTTTTCTTTCTCGATGAAACGTTAATTCTCTCCTGATTACGAATTTCACGCGTGTTAACAAGATTTTTCCCCTGATTTCCGGACGAAGTTCCGTACGAATATTCACACTTCTTCGCGGGTGAGCATTCCTTCCAATTTACACCCGTCTGCGACTTTAGTAAAGTAAATTCCCGCATATCCAACGATAGAAATGTCGAGTCATTAAGAAAGCATTGTTAAAATACCATTCGATGGACGGGGATCGTGTTGCGCGTCATTGCGGGAACTAACATTTTGGTTCTCATCAACTCTCTTTCCATAGCAGCATACCTTTCTTCCATCTGTCTTACATATTCCAATAAATATTGACTCGATACATGTCTGTAGTTACAAAAACATAATTGATAATTTACTGTTCAACAAAATTATAATTGAACGGATTCTCGAAAGAATTTTAGAAAGGGGAAACAGGAGATCTAGTAAAAATATAAAGAACATTACAAAGGGAATTATACAGGTTGAACCACATAAAGTGTTACAAACCACAATTTTTATACTAACGTTCGATGTGCCCTAAAACATAAATCATTCGGTTGCATGCAATCGGGATCATCGACAAGGATAAAATTTAAACCGAGCGTCGGTCCATCGTTCCTTAATGAAGGAATGCTTATTAATCCGGTAAATGGTGGTCCATGTTCTTGATTTGCTAAAAGTTGTCGAAGGTACTCGTTGCGTCTTCTTTGTTCGCGTTGATCGTTTACTGGTTCCAAAAAAATCTGTCGTCCGAACATACTTGTAAATTTTATATTTTAAACAATTACTAAGAATTTTGATGAGTTTTGTGCAAATTTTTGTCTAGGCTATCTGTTATCCATCGTTTGTTTTCCCTTCCTACTGTAGGTAAAGAAAACGTGAAGTTTGAACATCGATTTATAGTCGATTTTTGTCTCGTCTGAATGTCGGTTTTCAGTTTTGAACAAAACTATATATGACATTTAATGGAATGAAATTATGCATAAAGATTTATTCCGCGTTTCTAAAACAAAGTTTCACGCTTCCTGTGTATATTTATTCAACTTCGTCTGATTAATGTCGTCACGCACACAGATATTTGGTATCCATGACCCATTGGCGACTGTTCTATTCCCCTTTATTTTATGAAACTTTTCTTTTCAACATTATGTTCTTTAGTTTCATGAGAGATACTTAGATGTTTATTTCTGTTCTTGCATTCCAAGATATGTTAAATATTTATTAAACGAACACGTATGTACCATGTCTATGTCGTTCAAAAATAGATGTATATTTTGGGAACAGACTGATTTTGATGCTAGGTTACAGGAAGAAACGCAGTTTATGTCGATCGATTTATTTTATATTTGACGACTCCGAGTTTTATAGATGTATTTCCATATGCACCTTTTTGTCATCTGCTGGTAGACATTTTGATCTTGTGTCGTAAGCTGTATCTATGGTCAGTTACACGTAAATTTATCGTCACAAGAGTAGATTATTTGTGTTATGCGTTATATCGCGGATTATAGTATTCGAAGCATGGTTGCTCGAAAAAGCTACTCTCGATTACGAATGAAATTCATTAAAAAAATATTAGCTTGTTATTGGTTATGAAGAGTGTAATATTTTTATTTTGTCTTTCGTTCGTTTCTTTGTGGAATGGTCAGCCTTATTAGAAATTCAAACACCTCGGGTAGTGTGAGTACAATTGGAAAAAAACGTGTTAATTAAATCGCAGTTTTATTGTATCTTTCATTCTCAGTTTGGTATAATGCAACCATAACCTTCTTTAACTGTGATTTGTGTCTTAACGTTCAGACCACTGTTATAGAATTCATTTTATATAAGTATCCTTACATTTTATCGTATCGCAAAGGTATTAAACGAAATGATGACTGTTTGTAATTAGTGCATTTACTAGGGAGCTGTGTTTTTTGATGTGTCTAACAATATGGATGATGAGGAATATCTCCAGCCTATGTTGATCTCTCAAGAAGAAGAACCTTTTCGAAAGCTGGATACTGTACCAATCATATCTATTCCTCTCATATTTGGTGTAAGCTTCAACTTTGTTGGTGTCATTGACAGGTTGATTTTAAAGCTCGCATGTATTACTACATGGTTATTTAATATTGTAGGTATCTTTAGAAATTATAGGAATTGTGTTTGTGTCCGTATGGCCGGAAGAGAAAAATAAATGTGACACTTATTTTATATACTTATATCTTCATTGTGCTTATTGGTTGATAATTATGTTAACTGATCATTTTGTGAAAATGAAGCATCATATGTTGCGTGTTCATGGGTATCTTGTTTTTTATCAGTCAACATATCAACAAATTCGGGCACCCCTGTTTGCAGCATCATTATGGATTATGTGTTATTTATTATTGGCTGTGATTTTGCACCATACCCATAAAGTTAATTACGAACAGTACTGTCGTGCATCAGAGTGGTTTACTCCACTGAATTATATAGTACTTTTAACAACATTAGAACTTATGATTATCGTGCCAGTTTATGTAAATTATATTAGTAAGTACATAGATTATATTAAAATATTTACAAATTATAGGACTTGGATGAAATAAATTCTTTTTACCTTTTAGGAAAAGTATTAAGGTTCAATCGAACACGTCCACCTCCTGATGTTACTCGAGAAGAATGGTTGTCTTCTTTCACTCAAGACACGTATGCAGGTAATGGAGAATCACATCATGACAATAGAGGAACAAACTTGGAAGAGTTACTTGAAAAACAAGCAGATTTAATAAGATACTTAAGAGATCACAATGTTAAATTAAGTCATAGACTGATGTCACTGGCAACTCAACGCAGACTACCAGATGCATAAATTCGTTACGATCTATGTGAATTATAAGCCTTTAAATTAATCGTGTGCATACAAAAACAAGCAAAGTGATTTTTTCTAACTATATTTACCTGCATTAATATTCCGATATTTAACAAATATGGAGATTTTAGATAATATACAAAAACTCATGTATATGAATTTTAGATTGTAAGAAAAAAATGTACCTTTAATTTATGTTATCTCCCATATCTGTTTTTATTTTTTTAACACTTCCTTATCATCTATATTTTCGTTTTTACTTACATATGTCTAATTTTTACATTTACTCTAACATCTATTTTATTCCTTTTTTTATATACAAGGTTTACAACAGTCTTGGATTGTTAATACTACACATTTTGTTGATTTAAATTATTGCATAAATATTTGTATAACAACATAAAAATATAATGGAAAACAATTATAGAAGTGTGCTAATTTAAGTAGTGAAGGTGTTGCTGATTTAAAATGAATCGATTTCTAAATGATGTCGGCTCAGTCGAAGAACGAAGATATCGCGTTACGAGGAATCAAAAATAATTTCTGTGATCAAAAATACACATATGTATGTAATAATCACCCAAATAAAGCCAATATATTTTTGAATATGTAATGCTTATTATTTTACGCAACATTCTTGTTTGTATCATATGAAGCTACTATAATTAGTACAACAGTGATCTCTAAAACATAAAAATAATAATAAAGATTACATATTTGCTTCACAGACGCACGAAATGAATTTAAAATATTATTGCCATGTTTTTTTTTTTTATCAGTACCAAGTCAAAAATACGATGGAAGAGTATATCGAAGGACATTCGAGTAACAATGGGATAGATCAATACATTCTTAATATTTCTGTTATAGTTTAATATTAACATTATAACACAAGTCTATTCATGTATTTTTATACATATGTATACGTGTATAGTTCTATAAATGCCTAATAATACCTATTTTATGCGGATACAAACCTGACGCAATATGCACGCAGAGACGAGAAAGATTGTATTCGTAAATTGTTGGACCATACTTAACGTGAATCTCCTATTATCCGCGATATGCAATGAAACAAAATAGTTCTCAATAACGGTTCCGTTAATGCGCAACTACATCGCAAGGGCTTTCCGCCGGTGAACACTTTAGATGATACATTACGCAGAAAAGAAATCTATTTACAAAAGCTCTACGCGTATTCCGACAGGCTTATGATCCTATGCTATCGTACGTACGCTTACGGTATATAAAACTAACTTACACGTATGGAACACTGAAATATACAACGCTATAAAATGTATAAGCTTGTACTTCGTCGAGATTTACTAGATATACATAATCGCAACGCTTCGTTTTTAAAGCGAAATGACGATGGTCTATCAACGTGGCGGCGTGTAGACGACACAAGTGCTAGAACCAAAGCTTTCCATTCTTTCCTGGTCAGCACTAAGTTTTGCTGTTCATACCTCAAAAGTTTGTACTACGCTTAGGCCAACCATTTTCTTTTTTGCCGTGTATATACATGAAATAATGGTTTCGTTAATCCTCCTGTCCCAGAACTTTACGAGCGTACGCCGAGTGTTCCTCATTATTGTCGTAACTAGAAGTATTTCAGACTTTGCGATAAACACAAAATGGATTATCTCTCCGAGCAAACAAACTCCGTACGGTTCGCAATATTTTTCTAGATTAATGAACGATCGAGCGAACTTTACGAAAGAAAAGCAATCGTTCGGGCAAGTCGGTAATTCTTTAAATAGTCGCAACGAGGTTTCTATCAATGACGAGAAAAAGCAGAAACACTTAGGAAAGCATAGAAAATAAAAAGGAAGGATGAATTGTCTGCTCGAACGAGCAACGCTTTTCAACGTATCGACGCGAGTTATAATTTTATTGGATTCACTTTAACAGAAATCAGAGAGTTTGTTGCGATAGGCGCGTGTGCGCGTTTCAAAAATACGAGTTACGTCGACACTGTTTTCTCGTGCATCTCGTGCGATCAAGTTGCTGACGTCGAACGAGTATTTTTGTACCCGCGCAACAACCATTATCGAAATTTTTCCAAATTTCCAACATCTAAAAAGTCGGTGCAATGTCGCGAGGGGGCAGTGGTCCCAACCCTATGACTGTTCTGCCCAATTAAGAATGGAATCACGCGTGCCTAGCTCCTATAACGTTTCCGGTCGCGGAGAGCTGCTCCTCGGCCTCCATCATCTTCAGCTTCCTCACGACTTGAGCGTGTTCCTCGAGCAGTCTCGCGAATTCTCCTCTCCTAGTTTCGGCCTCCACTTGCATCTGCTTGATCCTTTCCCTTGGCCCGCCTGGACTGTCCAACGGCGTTTGGCTCGACGAGTTCTGAGAGCTGCTCTCGTTCGACAGACCGTCTAAATCTGAATTTTCGCTCGATATCGAGTGCGAATCGACATCGTCCACGATCAGGCTGTAAATTAAAGGAAACACCACGTTACACAGATGTTTTCACGTGTATATTTTCGAAACAATTTAAAAGCTCTCCAATTCCCTCGGGAATTATTTAACAATAAGCCTCCCCTCGATTGTGCACGTATTGGCTGGAATATTTCTAATCGATATTGCCATTAGAATGCGAATATTTGCGTGTTCTTCGCGGCCTTTCTTGCAACTTTGTACGAAAACTGTGGTATCGATTGATTCTAATGCTCCGAGTCTTGCCACCATATTCCGTTTCCCGTGTACGATGCACTCGAGATTTAACACACGCGTGCCTCTGTATTCTATACGTGTCTCGGGATTTTCAAACGACGTTCGTACGCGTTTTATACGATCGAGTCTGCCCGACGTCTGCTACGAGTCGGTGTACGGGAAGGAAAAAAAAACGTGAAATTCAAGGTTTCGATTATTTGGAGGGTAACAGAAATCAAGGGGAAGCGATCGTCGAACGTCTGAAGTTCAGGTTTTTAGAACCGAACGGGTTTTGTCGCTAAGGAGAATGTGATTTTCGTAGTCGGACCGAACTATCGACGTTCTGCCCTACAGCATTGTAGTGGCAACAATTGTCGCTTGCGTCAATGTTACGTCATTGGTACTGAAGCACGTAGCCTAGACTATGGATAACGGATTGATTTTACGGAAAATATCTGCGTTGGATTGACATCAGATGTATCGATCGGCGATAAAATCAGAAATAGATCGCGCACGATTCGTCGTTATCGAGAAACGTTTGGTCTCTGTCCTTTGGAGAAAATTATTACGAAAGAGGGGCGGAAGAGGGAACGAGAGGACGTACAGATTCAGGGACTCTTATATGCGTCACGGTCTATAACCATAATCGTTTGAACCACTTCCTACGATACAGTGGCCTCGATAGAGCTACGAAAATATTTGTACTGCGGGAATTATAATCCGCGAATCGTGTTAGGCGGAAGCCCGGAATGTAGCGTTACGGATGCTTTCTGGAAAGGCGTTGGATAGGGGGATGTTGTTGATTTAGCATCGACGCGAAAATACGAGGCATCCAAACTCGCGAACTTATTATAAGACCTTCGTAGCCGGAATGGACGCATTATTTGTGCACCAGACTAGATTGATAGCGCATCCAAGATGATCATATAATCTGGCAATATCGACTGCCACCCACGTCGACTTTTCCGGAGAAACGATTACAGAAAGGTCGTATTGGAAATCTACTCCCACGAAAATTCTGGAAATAACGGGGCTTCTATGCGCGTATTTGCAAACGCTATATGGTCTGACCAGAATGTACGAATCTACTGCCTAACGCGTAGCCGGGAACAAACAACGTGCTCGTTATATTTTCTCGGTTCTACGCGTTTTTGCTTCGCGTCGGGGCGCAAACAATGACAATTATTTATATCGTTGAATTATCTTGAATCGTTGTTTTGCAATCGCTTACCTGAATGCACCGTAGATTTCTCTTCCCGATGCCATCGTCACTGCGATATCAGGCAACGACCCTGGAACAAAAAATGCTATGACGTAAATTCATTAATTCCGATAGAAAGTCTTTTGTACATTTCGTTCTACGAATCGGAACCGTGCATGCGAAATGATTTATGACACGGCGGTTTTCTCGGGATAACATAATACCGAGTGACGTTAAACAATTTTTAAGCTTTGCTTCTCTCCGCGAATAATGAGAGGTTCTAACGAAATTACACACCGCGACGATTGCACGAGTGTCTCTGTGTCGAGCTACGAACACTATTATTAAGTACTATTTTAATTTTAACGCACCCCGGAGCGCGCGTAACGCTTCGTTCATCTTCCCGAGGGAATAAGATGCTTGTTCTCCAAAGTACAGACGATTTACGAGATTTTCAGCGAATGTACAAAGATGATTATATTGACTAGATTGTCCAGGCAAACGTAATCGTGTTACACGCGTCTCTGGCGAGTACACGATGCGTGTAAGTAGCCTCATTTATTTCAAGACAACGATCTCATGTTCCAAAAAGTATCATAGTTCGCGCTCGATGTCGTACGGGACAACGATGATTTCAGAAGGATAGAGTACCGCGTAGATTTAGATTGCATCGAAACGTAGGAAGGTAATTCGAAAGGATTTCGACTGACGTTGACGCGCCATTATCTTCTTTTATAATTTATAAGTCAAACGATGGACCGTCGAGCGATTTTCTTATTTAAATTGCATCGTTTCGTTTTATTTAACGAGGATCGATCGGCAAACGGTATTGATCGGTAGGAGACGGTGCCCGAAAACCCGATTTTCCTTTTCTACCTGTTTTATAATAGAACTTTTCCCGATCGATGGTAACGTTGTTTACCAAATAGATGGAGAATTTACGACTACCTTAGCAGAGTCTTCTCCATTGAGATTACTCGTTGTCTAACGAACGACGCAAAGAATTTAAAACTCTGACCAGATGGCGATCGACTGTTTTGCGCAGACGACACGTGCAAATTTACGTGACGGAAGCACACTACGTTGAGCGCATTTACACGTGCACGCTCACGTCACATCCTCCTCCGTCATTAACCACACGAACCTCAATTTATATTTTCCTGAATATATTTTACTACCGCCATTAATAGCAGCGGTTTAAAAGTTACACGAGATTAGGAAGCCGCGATTCGACGGAGGAATTATTTCTGGGTGGCAGTCGGTTCGCAATAGATCGCGATTATCGGCGCGTATTGCGAATCTGTATTGCCAGAACGATCGGTGATGTATAGGTAACCTATCTTGCTCTTTCTAAAATAGGATCACGAACGCGAATCCGACTCGATCGAAACCTTGGCCCCATAGAGCAGAGGCTTGCGTCTGTTTCGTTAATAAAATGGTTAATTAAGCGTCACGTGGACCAAGAAGCGTCTCACGTTCGAGCATCGAGGATCTTAATAAGCGATCACCTTGGGAATAAATTTGACCAACGACGTTACATACGATTGTTCGCGCCTCGGTAATTGCGATAAAAAAAGAAAAAGAAAAAGAAAAAGGAAAGAAAAACGATGAAAAGAACGGTCCGTCTATTGTTTCGGAAAATAGCGACGCCGCTCGCGAGGATCGCGAGACAGGTAAAAGACAATTTTGCGCCAAGTACTGAAGGAATGCTCTTTATTTGGTAGAAGCCGGGAAATCGACCTTCGCAGCTGCACGAGGAAGAGGATCGGGGACTCGAACGAGACGAGTGCCTCGCGACCTTAGACAATGCGACCTGCACACGAGACATCCACGAGCCGTGACCACTTCTGCCAGCCCACCGAGGAGAAACAAAGAAGGTAAGAAAGTCCTGACAGAGAGGAAAGTATCATCTCGCGTATTATTACACCGGATAAACGTCATAGCCGTTTAGAACCAGTTGTAACGTTTCTACTCGAGATTCCTGCGTCGATTTCAAGACGAACGTTTTCATAGCGTCTCGCCCGGAGTACTTCGCTCTAATTGCATACCGGGGTCTTCGTTTTGAATGCACGCGCGAACATAAGTCGGAACCCGCAACCGTGGCCGTGTGTGCCAAATTCAAATATGCAGTTCCGTTCGCGAATCCCAAGTGGAAACATGTTCGATCGTAGAACCGCGCGAACGAAAGAACACTCGATGGATGGATAATCTTATAGAAAAATGCATGGAAACGTACACTGGTACCCACCTCTGACCATCTGTGCTCGGTAATTTCTGCTGTATCGGTGTCCGTGTAAATCGAGCCGCGTCGATCGGTTCGATGCTGAGCAGCGGTTCGGCCAAACAGTCTTTATTCGGTGTCGAAACAGCGTAACGGAGGTTGAAAACCGTGCAGGGAAAGGTTTGATCGAGCTTCGTCGAACGAAAAGAACGTATTCGAAGGGACGACGGAGGAAACGACGTTCACCACTCGAAAGACTCGCGCAGACTGATCAGCTCGGCCTCTATTGCCGCGCGCTACAACCTCAACTGCAGGTTACCGCTCCACCGGAGAAGGGGGATGCAACCGACAAATTTTATTTCGTGCCACCCCGCCCCGCCCCGTCTTAGCGTTCTCGTCACCGTTCCCGCTGTTTTCATGCACTCGAGCAACTCTCTATCGCGTTGATTTCGATCAAAGATACACGCGTTATCGACCGACCACGGCGATTAGTTACAAGCAGACGTCATCGAGGCTGCTACCGAAAAAAAAAAAAAAAAAATTCCAGCCACGATTAATCGATAAGCGAGCCATAGAAATCTAGCCGGTTTTCTATTCTTGTGCATCTGGTTTTCGAATTCGTCGGTTTATTTTTAAGCGGAGCGTCTGGCTCTATTGCCCGTTAAAAGATCTCGCGAAGGACCATCGATTTTTTTTTTTCTCTCTTTTTTTTTGTTTGCCCGGAGACGATTAACGGTTGTCTATGCTATAATTGTTTTTCCCCGCGATTCTATCCGCCGACGTCACGGCGGAGCGAAACCCGACCGAAGAAAAAGCAATTTGCGATAGAAAATTGGATTGTGCTCGGGGGAGCCGCTCAGTCAGGGAAAACCTTTTCGCGGTGACAAACTTGCCGAAAGGAAGGTGACGATTGTCTGAATTGATGTTTCTCAGAAGCGGATACTGGCAGCTTATTCAACCGGCAGATGAATCATTGCCGATGACGTTCGTACTTCTCTCGACCGCTCTGTGAATTTCGATGTACGTATCTTGCGCGTAATACAATTGCACTTTGAACGAACAATCAAATGCCAACGAGATTACTAGTTGCGTTAAAAAAAAAGAAACTCGTTGAAAAAAAATATAGTAGAACGTCCCGTAACAAGCGAGACCCAAGGACAGTTTTATTATGTTGGCTGATAGTTGTACCGGATATCGTTCGTTGCGCGCGAATAATTTTAATAAACCGACCAGTGTGAATAACCGGCGTACGCGAAATCTTTACGGTTGTTTAAATCTGTCCATTCGATTCGTTCGCTTCATCGCGATGTTTTCACGAAATCAGTAGACGTTTCCGCAGTCGTAAATTTTTTAATTCGAAGCTCTTCGCGATAACACTTACGACCCGGCGTTATTGCGAGTCTCCGGTCTCTATTTTAACGCGTCTTTCGCGAATCCTCGACTGTCATGAAAATTGCACCGTCTTGCAACGCGAACGAAAAATGTTCGGTAGGTGGTCCCATGCTACGTCGGATTTCAGGGTCACCGCGAAACACTAAACGAAACTGACGAAGACCATACAACTCTTCGGGGAGTCCGATGGTAAATTATTTCGGTTGGTCGCTAATTTTGTCGCGGTATGCCATGCCGCACGGAGAGCGATGGTTAACCACCGCCGCGTATAACGAAGTGTCTTCGGCGTTGTGTGCGTCCTTCCACGCTTATCTTTCCGTTCTTTTACTTTCTCAGCGCTCATCCTACTTTTCTGCCTCTTTGTCCTGGCTCTTTCGAGAGTATTTGCTCGTCGATTGGCTCCCTATTTTCGCTCGTTAAAGTCGGTGTTCAATGTACCGCATCGCCCAGCCAGGGTCAACATCTCCCTCGAGGCTGAGAAAAGCTTGGCAGTGTCAACGAGCGCGTAAACTACCCTGAAAAAGACAAGCATTCCTATGGGGTCGAAAAAGGAGACGTGAGAGCCACCTTCGCTACACGTACTACACCGTTCTTCTTTCTCGCCGGTCTAATAATTCTTTCTTCGCGTCGTCCCTTTACGCCATACTCTAACGCGTTGGTTTTCGAGCAGCAAGCGTATTTGAAATTTGGAGAGAATCGCGTTCGATCGGTTCTTATATGCGATGTACCCACGGAACAAAGGCAATCTTCAAAAGTAAAAATAATACGAGCCGGTTCTCGACCCGGAATAAATGTCGTGAAAAATTTAACAGCTCGTGAGTCGCCCGTTGGTCAATAAAAGGGTTCATTGCGAGCACGTAACACGGTGGAAAATAAATAACGACCCTTATCTGAATCGCAGAACACGCCGAGCGATCGTGAGAAGTTAATGAACGGGACGTGCGTCAATGATAACGATCGTCGAATCGGAGACGAACCGAAAGGAGAGGTTTTGCCTCGATGGAAGATGAAAACTGTCTCCGAGATAACTATGTGCGTCAATGCTGATACTGTATCTTATCTGTCTCTCTCTCTCTCTTTGCTTTTGCATAGATCGTAATCTTCGATCGTCGTGGAAAATCGCCGCCGCGAAGGTCTCCGCGAGCCGACCATTTTAGATCTTCAACGACTTTCTCCTTGGGGATGTTTTCACCGCGATGGAAACTAATTTCTTCGGTTCGCCGTCGAATATATCCTCGTTCGTTTTCATCCTACGTACGTTCCATGTCGGATCGTAGAAAATACGAAGCCTTAAAATACGGGACGACCGGAGACCAGAGGCGAGGTCTGCTTTCAAATACGTCAAAGCCGTTCTTTATCAAGGTCGTTTTGTTCATACTGCCGGTAGTTTTCCGGATCGTTACACGGGCGAAGAAATTTCGTTTCTGTTCGAACATCCCCTACGACGATTGTTCTGTTCGATATACTTTCAATGAGTTATCGGTCGAAGGTACTTAAGGCTTATCGAAGAAACGGAACAACAAAGTGCCGATTGTTCAAGTTGTTTGGTACCACGCGCATCCCCCTCTATCGAACGTGGGTGGCTGAATTTTCGTCGCGGAATGAATCACTTGACTCGCGTAATGGATGATACGTATAAAACATCCTGGAAATTTGCAATAAAAGTGTCACCGCGCAGTATGCGCGAATTATCGGACTGAAATTATTAGCGGTACGTTCGCTGTGACCGTAGTTTTCTGGTCGGTAAAAATTCGTTGGAAAAACAACTATTAGGGAATTTCGTTGGCTCGATCCCGTTGGTTGAACGAAAAGGGACTGAGACCTTCGGTTTGTTACGAGACCTTGTTCGGAACCTGACTCGACGCATCAGACATTTGATATCGAGGTTAAATGTTCCTCTCGAGTCGAGAGAGGAGAGGAGAAAAAAGAACAGTTTGTTTCTCTTAGCAAAAATCGCGAGGGCGTCGAGAGATTCCACGCATACCGGGGATCTCGAGTTAATAAATCCGAATTTCTACGTCCCTCGTTCCACGATCGTCGATTCTAATCACTCGGATTCGCTTTCCCCCCTACGAATCGAACTCCTTTTGGCGGCTGTCCAGCGCGGTTATTTTTTGGATTAATTTCGTTCCCACGCGAACAACAACTACAAGACTTCTCGCGTTACGACAAAGAAACGTGTCCGTTCGTATTTCAAATATTTGTCGACGGTTTACGCGAAATTGTGCAAACGCTTCGTAGCCCGAGCAACGATTAAGCGTAAAACACGAACGCTTTCTGACGGAGAATAAGAACGTATGGAAATCTTTTCCGGTAGATTGAAACGTCCGGCCATGCCACGACGTACGCTGAAAGTCTATAAGCCGCCGAAGAGTATTTTTGTCCGTGGATATTATCGATTGCATATACCCCTGATTCGTTCTCTCTTCCTCTCGCGAGCATACTACGACCATATAGATTCTTCTCTTTATTTTTCCTCCTATACACGGGTTCTTCCTATCCAAAACTGATAGACGAGCTGTACGCGTCGTTTCCCGTTTACAAATACACAGCCGCATCCGCATAAATCTGTTCCAACTTCGTGTACAGACACGATCCGTGGAAGTTCCGTCCATTTTTAGTAACCCGGGGCCGCGTAGAAAACTTCCGAGCCGCGGAACCTTCGATATACCCGAATTAAACTTTTATTTCATAGAATCGGACGTGGGACGAGATCTTTCAGCGCATATTAATCCGCGAAAAATAGACCGCGCGTATTTAGCGGCCAGATGGATCGTTTTAAGTCACGTTTCTCTCCCAGGTAAAGAAACGATCGATCCCCGCGTACAGAATCGCCGCGCGGGCGAAATTGTATTAGAGGCGAGGAGTCTGACGCGATGGAACTCGGGAGGCAAGCTCAGAGAGTTCGTAAATTCGACGGTGAGTGACGTGTCTCAATTGTGATTCACTGCAATGCGTCACAGTGAATAGAGAATCTTATTCTTGGCCCATCGCGGCTCATTGTTCGCAGTCACCTACTTTCATTTGCCCAATTGTATCGTTTGCTTCGCGCGTCACTCTATGGATTATACGTACGGCCGGTTATTCTGGAACAGGAAACTTGCACGGCCAACCCCCTACAGCCTTTGGGAAATTTTTACTCTTCCGGTGCTCCCCGTCGGTTCCGTATACCTCGTAAATCTTCGTTCGTATTCCGCCTTGTATGGTAAACAAGAGCTTACGTTCCATATCGACCTGGCATTTATTTTTAAGAAACTTATCCATCACGAGCGGACGCCGAAACTGTACCGCCTGTTCGATGAAAAGTTCCATCGTGATTGGCGGAATTTCGCTAGTCAGCTGGTATTTCACCGCATCATGTACTATAAATAGTTTAAATAATCACGTGACGCCCGCATACCACCGCGTACGTGTAGAATTGAAGGCGTCAGCCGTTTCCGAATATTACACTTAGGGGGTAATGAGTCCGTCGAGTATTGGCGACGCTATTGTTGGAACAATCGTAACGGCGATTGAAAATGCCGGCTTTGAGTAAGTACGCGGTACGTCGCGATCGATCGATCGATTCTCTTTTTTTTTTCTGTACGGTATAAATAAATAACACGTGTAAATGCGACGTTGAACGCTTTAAATTACAATCGACGCCGACCGCTGGACCTTGAATGAGTTCAAGCACGTTGGGTGCGAAACAGCGGAGCGCATCCGTTCCAAGATTATCGGTTTTTTTCTTCAAATTTGAATCATCGATGCGCCGTAATTTGTGAAGCAAATTTTAAAGTTAATTCATGAGTCAGCGCGCGTATACTTAAACTTTACGCGATAACGAGTCAGCGTCAAAGTACATAACTCGAAGGTATTCTCTATAACGTGATACAGAATCGGCGCGTTAACTTTTGTTATCCGGAAACCGAGGGGATTTGTACTT